GAAAATACCACCCCTAGTCTCCTCCTTGTGCGTTACATGGCACCCCAAGCAGGCATGGCATGAGCTCTTCAGCACCACCCTACATCTCCATGGACTGGGCTGCTCTTAAAATATAACCATAGCTGGGCTCGCTGGATGGTTAGTGCTCCCTCACAGAAGGATAGGCAGGCAGTCTCTGGACTCTTACTGAGTACCCAGCCGCTCCTCTCAGCATCCATATGTGATATTGCTCTAATTGTACATGGACCCCAGGTCACTAGGAAAAGACAGACTAAGTAGGCTGGAGAAGTCTAAAGGATGTGGGAGCTCCATCTACCCTGCTGTGGGGAAGCCAGCAAAAGTGCTGGATCAAACTTTCCAGTGTGTCTGATTTGTGGTCACCCATGCTCTGTAAGTAAATCCAGTAAACTCACTGGTTCCCCAGGGTGAGCTTTGGTTGAAATCAAACTTTAGGTTTTTTTCTCCACTGAGACCTTAGGAGTGGGTAGACATTGCTCACAGAGAAAGTCTTTACAACAGCATACAATAACAATCACTTGTTGTTATTAGCGAATAACAAGAATCTTGTTTTTTCTTTGTCTTTAGCACCAAACTCTTCAGATGGTAGTTGTTGACACCAACTCTGACCTATGACCAATAAGTGATCATCTGAAAAACAATACAGAGAAAGAAACTGGAAGCAACTTAATATGGCCTAATGTATTTTTTTTAAAAAAAAGATTACTTTATTAAATCCAAGAAATTCAAATTAAAGGTGGCATACGCCTTTAACCCCAGCTTTAGGGAGGCAGAGGCAGATGGAACTGTGTAAGTTCAAGGACAACCTGGTCTACAAAGTGAGTTCTGGTACAGCCCAGGCTACACAGAGAAACCCTGTCTCAAAACCCAAAATAAAATAAATATAAAAGAAATCAAACAGACTAAAAAATGAAGTTGGATGCTGGAGACCTAGCTTAGCAGAAGAGCAACTTTCCTCGGGAGTACTAGCCTCTTGATGCACTTCAACTATGAAAAGGCAGGAAAAAGGCGGGGGAGGGCGGAGGAGGGAAAGAAAGTGTAGGAGAGAAGGAAGGGAGGAAGAGGTAGGGGAAGAAACATTAAACTGATACGTTCGATTCCAGTGATTAAGAAGTTGTCAATGACCTTGAGACCAATCAGTCACTTGGTATAAGCTGAAGCCAGTCTCTCTGGGGAGGTGCATGAAGGATAAAATGAGAAGCTACAACTTGTAGGGAAAGGTGAAACAAGTAAACCGGTTGCTTTATGGCTGGTATGTTTAAACGAAAGAAGTTAGTTTATTTTTTCCTCTGAGTAGAAGAAACTTCAGCATTGTTTTATAGAGAGGGCAATCAGGTAGGCCAATGGAGGTGGGAAAACTGAAAGGGGCCATTAAAGGATGAAGGGGAGGAAACAGTGAGAAGAGAAGTCCAGCTCCTGGAATCAGAAGCTTGTGCCTGACTCTCACCTCTCTGGGCTCCATTATCCCACCCCTGCCTCTCACAGCCACAGTCAGATGTGGATGTTCTAAGACCACCTGAAACCAGCGGAGCTCAATAGCATGCAGATCACACTCACAATGCAGGGCCTTCGCTAGGTCAGGGGCAAAATGCAAAGAAGAGAGGGTATCCTTTGAGACTGGAGATAAAGAAGAGCGAAAGTCTACAAGAACAGGGTGAGGGGGCATTTCCATTCCAGAGATGCTTTGCCCTCACAAATTATCAACATCAGAATTAGCTGAGAAGCTTGAGAAAATATCAGATGATTGGATAATATCAAATGCTTAGATCCCTGCAGAAATCTTTTAATCAAAGCCTTTGAAAGTGGGCATGGTCTCAACAATTGTTTTCAGTCAGCCAGATATCACAATTGACAGGCCAAGTTGAAAAAACGTGTTCAAATGCGCTACATATTATAGATTTGCACCTTTTAATGACTGCTGATGCCAAACATTGACAGATGTTAAAAACATGATGCTGAACATAAGAAGCCAGAAGCAAAGCGGCTTATATAGTGTGAGTCTGTCTCAATTCTGTCATGATGCGAGGAGAGGGGTAAGGGACGTTAAACATGAACACACTGGTAACTTCTGGGAGAGGAGAGAAGTTAACCAGAAGGGACAAGAGAAAACTTTCTAGGTTGATAGAAACGTCCTATGGCTTACTTATGATACAGGTTACTCACAAAACAACAACAACAGCATGCAGTTGTCGGTACTCATTGAGCCAGGTGCTCAATACCTGTGTACCTGCTGCATGTAATTACATGATGATTGAAGATTAATTAACTCCAGGAAAGATTTGAGTTAATTGGTATGGGTACTGGGATTTCTACAAGCCTTCCAGGTAGGTGAATAGAGGTTTAAGAACTACTAGACAAAATCAGCTGCAGAGACAGAGTGCAAAGGGAAACTTGTAAAACCCGATAAAGGTTTGGAAATAGAAAGCGAGATTAAATAGGTGGAACTTTGTCTCTTGGGGCATAATTGTGGATTGTAGGCTTCAGTGCACACCGTGTGCTTGAAATAAAAGTCAATTCTTACGGCTCTCTGCAGACCCACAGAAGAAAGTCCAGGGATTTGCATATCAATGATCCCCCTGTTTATTCCCCTACTCTAACATTAGGGAACTTGCAGAGAGACTCACCTGAGGGTGAAACCCTCTCCTTTCAGTAGAGGGCAGGGGATCAGGCGTGGGAGAATCATGGACTTTGAGGGCAATTATAACTTTGAGCAAGAAGAAAAGTTGGAAAATCAGTCACTGATGTGACAACCAGAGCACACAAGCGTCCATATGAAGCTGAGGAGAGGATGTACTGCTGTAATGTAAAACAAACCAGCTTGAGAAATCAAGGGGAAGACAGAGGAGCATAGGGTCTGAGGCCAATGAATGGACCCATGTGTGCCTTTTGGGCAGCCTCCAGTGCTTTTTAAAGATGATTACTTGAAAATGGACCAAAAATAGATGGGCAGATTGACAGCTTTCGTGAGAGAAATTGCCAAGATGTTGCATGTCCGAGTAGAACTTCACATGCCCTGGAGACGATGGGCCTTGAGGAGGCTTTGGGCAAGTGAAAGGGACTTTTAAGGAAGCCATTTAAGAGGCAGGTGTGGTGTTGCACACATTTAATCTCAGCATTCAGGAGGCAGAGGCAGATGGGTCTCTATGAGTTTGAGATCGTTCTGGTGTATATAGTGTGTTCTGGGACAACCAGAGCTAAGAAGAGAAACTTTCTCTCAGATAGATGGATAGATGATAGATAGATAGATAGATAGATAGATAGATAGATAGATAGATAGATAGATAGATAGATAGATAGATAGATGATAGAGATAAATAGATGATAGATAGATAGATAGATAGATAGATAGATAGATAGATAGATAGATAGATAGATGATAGATAGATAGATAGACAGACGATGATAGATAGATAGATAGATAGATAGATAGATAGATAGATAGATGATAGATAGATAGATAGATAGATAGATAGATAGATAGATAGATGATAGATAGATAGATAGACAGACAGACGATGATAGATAGATAGATAGATAGATAGATAGATAGATAGATAGATAGATAGATAGATTTTGGTTCAGAATTGGTTTATGCAAAAATGTGGAATCTTAAAATTAAGGAAATGTTTTCCTGAAAGAGTTTTTTTTAAAAAAAAAAAAAAAAGTCCATTTAGGAGACAAGTAGGGACAGGCAAGTTCTAAAAACTACAGTGAAAGATGAAAGCTTGAAGAGAGACTAATATTCTTTCTCCTCATCCTGGCAGTAAGAACCAAACTGTCATGAAATCTTCCACAACACCTAGAGAGCACTTAGGAGGCAGACCCCTCCACGCTGACAGAAACCCACTCCTGTCAACAGCTTCACTGTAGTCCTGTGTGACCTGCAGGAGCAGGGAAGCCAGCATGAGGCCCTGGCCCTGGATTCCCAGAAACGGGAACATCATCAATGTGACTCTTCAGAACCAACAAGATGCTGGTGGCCTGTTCCTGAGCAACAGGATGACTTGAACCAGGCGTGTGGATCTAGCACATGGGCCCTCAAGAAGTCCTGGAAATGAAGGAGTGGAGACATGTACCAAACATCTTAAATGTGTTTAGAACCTTACTGTCCACCTGAGTATACGTTGAATATGTTCTTAATTCAAATACTTTATAAGCAATTTCCACTGAGAAACAAGAAGGTACTAGAAAATGAAGAAAAAAGCTAAGATCTGCTGTTCTCTTGAAAGTGACTTTACCATCCTTACACTTTTATACAAATACTTTCATTTTCATAATTTGAGTCACATAAATTATATATTGTATTTTGGTTATCTGTTAAGTTTATCATTTTCTACTGTTCTACTTAGGTTTTTTTCTACTTTCTTTTTTAGATATTTGAAAATATAACAATCACTATAGACATGAATGATCTGGATTCATTAAACCTGGTTTAATGGAAAAGGAAAAGATTCAAGAGCCAATGCTAAATCTGCCTCCTACATAGGAAGCCTGACAAGCACTCAAATCTTGTCTTCTTTTTGCCTCTAGAACCTTCCTCTCCACCCACCTACACACTGGCCATCCATCAATGCCTTCTGCCTCCATATTCTTCCCTTTGCTGAGATACACATAGAGAAATGGGTGGCTGTTGTTGGCTTCAGATGACATCACTAATGGAGTCCAAGATGTCAAAGGCAAAGGTGAGTCAGGAAAATCAGTGCTGGCCACGTTCTCGCTTCTGTAGCCACTTTGTCCTATCGCTATAGCAACAGACCACCAGGTGCACTTGTGTGCCTTGCGAAGCTCAGTGCTTCCCGTTCTCCAGTGTGGAATAACCAGTGTTTGTTGTATTTCCTACAGTAGCCAATGCCTACTGCGTGAACAGCACTAACATTGAAAAAGAGTTGTTGACAGGATTTCCTCCTCTGTTTCTACTGCATTGGCCTCTTTGGAGAACACAGGGTTAACACAGGCTGTTGACATGCACCCCTCTGACCTACCTTCAGGCGTTTTCTCTCTCAGTGACCACAGCTGAGCATCGTGAGTACCACCATCATCACTTCCTTCCTCTGCCTCACTTCCATTTGGATAAAATGCCCTAGAGATGTGCAGAACCCGCTCTGCGATTTCTCTGTCATAGAATTCTCCATCTCTTCCCTTGACCTTTTGTATAGCTTTGATGATTAACTTTCTCCCAGGGCTGTGTTGACATAACAGGCCACTGTACTAACCTATTAACCTTTGAAAAAAATCAGAGTCGAAATCTGATTTGAGTAAGAAACCCAAAATAGTTTTCAACTAGCCTGGAGTTTATGAACGATAAAGGGGATAAGCCCATCAACGTGATGGACGGGGTTTGAGAACGAGCAGACTGAACTAGGTAGTCATGTGACTCAGATATAAAGATAACATCATGTTCAATCTCCAAGCAGTTTGCCTGGATGCTTCCTTGCAGAAAAAAATAAAATAAAAACACAGGTAATTTAATTATAGTAGCTACTATTTATAGCCCTCTCTGACTTCTCATACGGTTCTCCAGAGCCTACCTCTTCTCTGCATTTGATCCTGACATAAGATTGTTAATTATAATCACTAAGCTGTTTACTGCTCCTCCCTTATTGTATCTTATTGGTATTTCACTAAATTGGAATTTTTAAAAGACCTTCTTTTTAACTGCAAATCCTGCTTTGATCCAAATTATAAGTTAACTGGATCCAGACTTCTGTTAAATTCTCATGACCGTGTAGTGATAACTGAAGACCCGGCGTATGCTCCATTTGGCTAATCTAAGCTCTGAGAACACTGGCTGTCTCCTGTTTCCAAAGGGGGTCTATTTCCGGCCACTGCAAACCTCCCTCACCCTTCCTCCATGTCAAAGCGGACCTGTGACCTGTGCTCTCTGAAGTCTTTCCAGCCTGGGCACCTGGGCGCTCAGCCCTGCTTTATTTTTAACTAAGGGCAAATGGGTCGCCAACTCTCCAGGCACTGCTCTTTGAAGAAGCAGATCCCTATTTGTTATGTATTATAGACTTATTTGAGAAAGATCACACCGACACTCTGTTTCCTCTGAGCTGCTTTCAAGCCCTACTTTCTGTAGCCTCAATGGATATGCCACCGTGATGCTCACACGGGAGCACGGGAGAACTGCAGTGGGGACCAGAGCGTGTGCGGGTGGAAGGGAGTGTGACAAGAGCATCCTCCTGAAACCAACCTCCCGGACCAATTAGGATGAAAGAGCAGCTCCAGGAGAGCCATGGGTTTGTGACGCCGGACACCTGAGCTTTCAGTCACTTTCCCTTCAAAAGAGCTGAGCTCTTTTCTGACATTAAACCTGCAGTTCACATGGACTCTTCTTGACCACGGACTTTGTACACTGACTTAGGCCTTGAGCAAGGTCAGCCAAATGACTGCAAAGTGAAAATGTAAGCTCTTAGATTACAAAAAAATCAAAAAGAATGCCTCCGTGGAATTAAAACATAGAGCTTCCCCCTTCTTCACGATCTGTCTCAGCATCCATCATTGTGTGCTTCCCACATTTTAGCTTATTTTATATCATTTTAAATTAAAGAAAAATTAGCATTTAAATAATTAACATTCAATTTACCTTCCAGCTTTTTATTGTGCTGTGCTGTCTTTAAACGCAAATAAGAGAGCATTTGTTTAATCTACAGGAAGTGTTTTCAAAATTAATTATACAAGTCATGTTTCTTTTTGTCAGTGTGTATGTGAGTGTGTGTGTGTGTATGGTGAATCTGTGTGTGTGAGTGTGTGTGTGAGTGAGTGTGTGTGTGTGTGTGTGCTGCATTCCTAGCACATATATATTTATGAGCAGTTGCATAAATGTCTGGTTGCATGTATACATGCATGTGGAGGCCCGACCTCAGATAAGGATCCTCAGGAGTGTTATGCACCTCTTTTAGCAGAGGGTTTCTTGTTGGTCTAAAGCTCACCAGTTAGGTTAGACTGCATTGTAGAGAACTCTAGGGATCCGCCTGTCTCTACCTCTCTGGTGTTGCAAACATGCACCACACTTGGCCTTTTCTGGGTTCTGAGGATCGAACTCAGGTCCTTGTGCTTGTTAAACAAGATTTGACCAATGGAGCCACCCTGTTCCCATTGCAACAGTTCTTATTCCAAAGCCTATGTATGAAGGTTTGTTTTGTTTTCAAAATAGTGTAAAGGCTATGCAAAATTAACTCACTTTTCTTTTTATTTTCCATATTTGAATCCCCTACTAAAACTGTCTTTGCTTGCGTATTAAAGAGTCAAGAAAATCTGAAAGCAGCATGAGCTATGGATTGCTCCATGGCTCCCTGTTCTTCGGCACTGCCATTAACATTGCAGATGAACGACCTGTCCTGAGAGGAAACACACAAGCAGGACGTGCTACAGTATGGATCCTTCCTCACAGAGATTTCTTAGGATGACATTAGCTTCTTTGTTTATATGAAGAAAGCACTAGGTTAGACAGAAAGCTTATCTTGTGGGGACGGCCAGTGTCCCTTCTCAACTCACATTTTACCTAGGAATAGCTTTGGGTCTCCTTAAACTCTAGAACTCTCGACTCCCTGGCCGCAGTGAGCACACTTGAGAACAGGGCTGCAAAGAAAGGGCTAGATGTGCACATTGTATAACCTGCTCTCTCTACTCAAGCTCCCCTGGACCCTAGCACTACACTTGCAAGCCTGAGATGACATCATTAAGAATTTCCAGACAACAGTATCAGAACATTAAATCAAGCGAAAAACCATTTTAATGGTAGCACTATGGGCTCAGGTTGCACAACCAATAAATTAGCCCTGGGCTTGAGTTAAAAAATCATATGTCTGACTGACTCGGGTTGAATCTGAGTGAATCTATCAAAATTAAGCACATTTTCACAAATGTCAACTAGGAAAAGCATTTATATCACTGTTTCTAAAGTTGTAGACCATTATCTCTGAGATTGTCTAGATGACCACTGTTACCCCTGGTTCCCTGCTTTATGTTACAGAATGACCCAAAAATGTTTGATCTATTTGGGTGACCACTTGTTTCCAGTCCAGGTATCTCTCTCAGCAACTCAGCACAAAGCTTCAGCAGCCCTCTTATCTCGGACTGAAAAGCTGATGCTCTTCTCGGTAGGCCAGAACCTTGGATGGCTGATGACTGTTTTGGGTCTATGGCAAAGGCACCTGTGCATAAAGGTGCACTTTCTCTGTAATGGATGCCTCCATAGATAATTATGGCCTGAAATATAGAGACATAACAATGAGATCTCTGAAAGGCCTCACAATCGAATTTTATAGTCCTTGCATTGCACTATGAATATACACACAGAGACACGATCTCACACTGCCCAGTATGCCTGGAACCCCTATGTATCAGTGACAGATATGGAATATTGATCCCTGTTTCCCAGTCCCTGAAGTTCTGAGGTTGTAGGTATGGACCATCAAGCCCAACCAGTGATCCAAGACTTTTAACCTAAATGCCTCAACACAAGGATGGCACCGTCACTTATAAACAATTGGTCCTCAGACAGAAGAGCAGTCACCAAGGACTTAGGGCTTACTGAGTCATTCCGTAAGGCCCTCACTGCATGTCAATAGAAACAATCAGGAATAATATGCGCATCTTTCCCAAGCTGCATCTTTCTCATGAGCACTGTGGACAGCTTGGGCACACGGAATCTCACTCCCTGAGACAGCCTGGTGCGCTATCAGGAGCACAGGAGAGGAGATTCCTGGGTGAAAGTCATAGTGACCTTCCTTCCCTCTATACTCTGGTGCACTGACCCCAATTGCACGAGTTTGGACATGCTATCCCTAGCAAGTCTCTCTCTGTGAACGATGCCTTGCATGTGCCGGGGCACCAAAAGCTCCACACCTAAAGCAGGGTGAGTTCAGTAGGCAGGACCAAGTCTGTGATGTGCTAGAGAGGCACTGTGTCTGCTTTCTATCTCCTGAACCCCCTGGGAGAAACTTCCCAGATGCCTGATATTCACTTGCCTAGTGTCTCGTCAGATAAAGAAGGGGGTCCTACTAAAGAATAGCCAAGTAACACTAGCAAGGGAGCCGCTGAGTTGAACGTAATGACTATCATGCTGAGCTTGACTCTGTCTCACTAATGGGATGACCTTAGACAAGTCTGTCGATCCTGGAAGTCTCTATTTTCTTAAGGAAAATATTTCCTTTCTGCTGTGTAGAGAGATGGAACAAGCTTGGCAGCCATGCACAGTATAACACAGCCCAAGGACGCTGTAATTGCAATAGGAAGTACTGCCACCCTGTGTCCACTAAAGAGAATCAAAGTATCCAACATTCCATGCCTACCTAAAACAAACACGAAACTTAGCTCGCCAGAAAGACCCAATACCTGACCAAATTTTATTTCTGATCATTGTAGTATATGTTATTAATGACGAATATACTTTACGCTGTGAAAACCAGTCTATCCTGTGTTCACCTTACGTGCGGGGTAATGAGTCACAAAGGACTTGACTAAACCTCACACTGGGAAAGAAAAGGACAACTCCGACCTATGAAACCCATGAAGACCAAGCCCAGAATTCAGACTTCCGCTTGGCATCCTGACCTCTCCTCTTGTCGTGAAATGTGTGCTCCAGACAATGGATCAATATGGTAACCCTTCCTGGCTTCTGTCTCAGAGCGTTCCTGGCTTCTTTAGCAGTGTGTTCCCCTCAGAGCCTTTCCCTAACTGCAGGCTAAGACACTGTGATAGTCCAAGCATAAGAGCTACACGTCACTAGCGTGTTCCCCTCGACAAGCTCTCTGCCTCTGTTGGCCTGTTTACAGCATGTGATTCTCTGTGAGGGCTTTCATGTAACACTGAAGACAGGACAATGTGACACCTGCCAGAGGTGGCGTCTCTAAGGAGGTCAAATCACGTGACCACAGAGAGCAGCTGCTTGGCTACGCTGTTTATGGCCGCTCCATCAACTCATAGTAGAATATCCTATGGGGCCTCTGCATTATCCTATTTAGTAGAATATCCTATGGGGCCTCTGCTTTATCATGAGTTCTTGCTCAGGTCTTGGTCCATTGCACAGATCCTGTGAAGCAGAAATTGGTCTCACGCATGAAGTGGAAAGAAGCATCCAGGCCTGGAGCAGAGGATCAGGCAATAGGAAGGAGCTGAA